TCACAGAAAAACTGGCTGCCCTGCACAGGAAATGGTTCCGAGAAGCCAGGATGACAGCCCAAGTGCGCAACAGACTCGAAGGCGAAGTCATCGGGAAATATTGGTCGATGATAAACAGACCGAGGAAACCGAGAGATATTATACACCGACTACTCAAGAGCTCGGCTGGCCTAGAACCAGCGCAATACACTTACGAGACGAATTCCAAGAAAATGGCAACACTAGCAAGGAATTACCATAATAAGATACAGAAAGACAGGAGAGAGACCGCGCCTGACATTCGAGACCACACAATAGAGGTAGTGTTGGAAAGAACCGCTCGCCGAGTCACCGCATCTCAGAAACAGACCCTCAGCAGAAGGCTGACCCGCAGTGATGTAAAGCAAGCACTTAAACTATCCGCTAATAACAAAGCCCCCGGCCTCAACGGGTTCACGTACGAGTTCTGGAAAACCCTTGATGCAAGATACGAAACCGCAATGTCACTAGAAAAACCCGGGTTCGACATCCTGAGAGCGCTCCAGCTAGTGTACAATGATATTGAAGTTCATGGTATGATGCAGGGTACCGCATTTTCCGAGAGCTGGATGTGCCCTCTATATAAGAAGAACGATAAAGCTGACATCGCGAACTACCGGCCTATATCGCTACTCAACACGGACTATAAAATTTTTACAAAGGCTCTCACCGTTAAACTGGCAGAATCTGCGCTGGACCTAATACACCCGAACCAGGCTGGATTCGTGCCTGGACGCCACATCTACGACCAGATCTGGCTCACAAAACGAGTTATCGAACTGGCCGAGGCCACGGAAACTGATGGCCTGATTGTGGCACTGGACCAAGAGAAGGCCTATGATAAAATTGAGCACGACTATCTGTGGAAGGCGCTCAAATGCTACGACATACCAGATGAGTTTATCAACACAGTCAAAGCCCTCTACAGCGACGCCTTCACATACGTGATGGTGAACGGCGAGAAAAGCCAACACCCCTTCCGTGTTTCACGAGGAGTACGGCAGGGAGACCCGTTGTCTTGCCTGTTGTTTGACCTAGCCATTTGAACCGTTGGCGGAATCCCTGCGCAAATCAAACCTCAATGGAATTAAAATTAAAGGCAAGAATGAACCATTGATTGCGACGTTGTTTGCAGACGACACCATGGTGTACTTGGATTCCAATGACGATTTCGGAACACTGACCGATGTGCTCGACGAATGGTGCATTGCATCGGGAGCTAGGTTTAACATTGGAAAGACGGAAATGATTCCAATAGGTTCGATCACTCACCACGATAGAGTCCGAGCGAACCGATTCGTCAACGGGACCGATGGCACAGCCATACCTGGACACATAAAAATTGCAGCGGAAAAAAGAGCCAATACGAACCCTAGGAGCCTGGGTCGGCAACGGAGTAGACCAAGTTGGAACTTGGGCACGCACGATTGAAAAAATAGACGCCTCCCTGGAACAATGGGAACAAGGGAGCCCGACAATGGAGGGCCGACGCCTCATCATCCTTATGGTGGTAGGCGGCATGACCCAATATATGGCCAAAGTCCAAGGGATGCCGAAAGAGGTGGAGACCAGACTAGAAAAGAGGATCCGAAAGTTCCTGTGGGCAGAAAAGACCAGTGTCACCGTAAATCAGGAAACTGTCTACGCACCTATGGACCAAGGCGGAAAAGGCCTGTTGGATATTGTCGCGAGGAACGAAGCGATAGCAGTAACATGGCTAAAATCATACCTGAGTTTTGGAGATGAAAGACCGCTGTGGGCGTTTGTAGCGGACGAGCTTCTGGCCAGAAAAGCACAAGAGGTGGACTCAAACGTCGACTTAGACATAAGAGTCAACACATACCTGCAAACCTGGGACACAAAAGTGACGGAACTGAAACCCGACCTAGCAGCGATGGTCAAGGTGGCCACCAACCACGCACTAAGGTTGGACGGGCTCGCCATTGCTCGTAACATCCAACGAGAAATGCCGATCTGGTTTCACCAGAAGTCGACGGCGTCAAGAACACTGTTCACCGGTGGTCAACACCATAAAGACGTGATACGATGCCTAAAAAAGACTCACAAAATGCATACCACCGGAGACGCGGAGAACCTCGCACTAAAACTGAGAACAGCGAGGCATAAAGATGGAAAAAACTGCCGTTGCACGACATGTATGGAATTCCGGAGCATCGGCTGCCGGGACCCAAACCGATGCATGCGGCGAGCCAGGGACATGCTCAACTCCCTCCTCCCTAAATGGAACCCGCTGCTCCCCCAACCGGAGGACTGGGAGGCGGAGATGGAAGACGTACCTCCGCCGGACGAAGACACGAAAGTCTTCGACAGTCGCGTAACAACCAACGGGTCGCTAGCAGACGTGTTCCGCATATTCACCGATAAAGCGTCAAGCGGGGACGAGGCACCAGACAACCAACTGGAGCCAGAGCCTGACGAGGAGGAGATTATAGCATACACGGACGGCTCGGCCACGGATAACGGTATGGAAGATGCCCGAGCTGAAAGCGGAGTCTTCTTCGGCGCAGGAGACGTCCGTAACATAGAATTACGGATACCGGATGAACTAGGGCCATCAAACCAATCGGCCGAAATATTAGCAATTAAAGCCTGCATCGAGAAGTGCCCGAACGACGTACCTCTCACAATTAAAAGTGATTCACTGACGATGATCGAGGGCCTCACAACCAATCTCAGCAGATGGGAAGACGAAGGCTACATGACAATAGCAAACGGTGACCTAATCAAAACAACCACTGCATTTTGACGGCTCCTGGAGCCACGTGAGTTCAGCTTTGGCGAGCCTTAGCCGAGATCGGTTGAGACGCCTCGGCAGGGTCTGCCCGTGGTCTGCCGGGCAAGGCTGTGCCCAGCGATGACGAGGTGCGTGCGAGGCGGCCTCGAACCACCTAGCACAACCTCTCTCGAGGTGCGCCGAGTCCCTCAGCGGACTGTGTCCTTCTGTAGTCACCTTCCTCAGTACTTGACTCAAATCCAAGCCCTCGTTGCCCATTTTGTCGCATCAATCAGATCAAAAGGCCGGTGGGAAACGGCCTCGGAAACCCGCGACCCGCGGGTTTCCCACGGATCCGGACATGATCCAGTGTCCTCGTAATTTCTGTCAGAGAGAATTACACGGGAAATATGGGACCTAATACTTGGGGATGTATCCATTTCACCTAAAGATGAGAGGTATTTGATAGGAGCATCAGCGAGCTGAAAGATTCGAAGTCGCAACACCATTTTGTCACCGTGATGTCACGGTCATGTCCTTCCCACGTCAACTTGAGATGTGTTGTGATCACTTACAGGTTGCGTACTTAGCATGGTCGAGTCCAAGAGCCCAAGTGATCCTCTGCATACCTTGAGCAAACCTCGGCAGGGTCTGCCAAGGTCCAAGTGTGTCCAGGTGTGCCGAGCAACCTCGGCGCAGGCTTGGGTTGAGGAGCCATCAAAATGCAGTGAACGGTAGCAAAACTACGAGAACGTAAAGCGCAGACGAACCTTGGCTGGGTAAAGGGTCACGCCGGCGACATAGGAAATGAAGCTGCGGACAAGCTCGCAGACGGGGGCAATTGAGAACCTCCCCGGACATGATTGACATGACCATCAGAGAAGATTTAGTCCTACCGGGTGCAAAGCTTCAAGTAATGACTCAGTCCCTGGCATATAAAATAATCAGACAGAGGAGAGCGGAAACTATGGCGTACCAGGAGGCACTAGACAGACCCGCTACGAGACAGAACATGGGTCTAGCTCAAGGGGCGGCCAGCGACTTCAACAACGAGTCAACACCGGCAACGGCAATCTGGAAAGCTTCAAAACATAAAGACTTCACCAGGAAAATACGTTACTTTATGTGGATGACTCTGCACAACGGCTACAAAGTGGGCGACCACTGGAAAAAGATAGAAGGCTTTGAAGACCGGGAGAACTGCAAAAAATGCGGGGTACTAGAAACGATGGAGCACATTTTAATAAAATGTGACGCACCAGGCCAATCCCAAATATGGGACCTCGCGAGCGAGGTATGGAAGATGAAAACGGGGAGTGAGATGAGACCGTCCTTTGGAGAAATAATGGCGTGCGGCGCCATCAAGAAGGGTGACACTGGATCGTCCAGGCTATACCGCATCCTCATGTCAGAGTCAGTGTACCTAATATGGAAATTGAGGAATGAAAGGGTTATCCGAGAGCAGGAAGGCGCGTCCGACAGGGGAATCCACAACCGATGGAGAAAAAACAATAAATAACAGGCTCGAATTAGACTGCCTACTCACAGACACGAGAAAATGGGGCAAGAAGTCCTTAAATAAATCATTAGTACTGACGACCTGGAAAGGAACGCTAATGAATGAAGACAGACACCCTGAGGATTTTACCGGGGTGACCGGGGTTCTAGTGGGTGTGGGTTGATTGTAATGAAGGCTGCCTGTGGGCCGGAATGATTAACTCAAGCCCCACACGGTGCACGGCGACTAGTTCGGGTGCATGTGCGTTTGCGCATTTCCCCGGGTGGCACTCTGTCGGCTAGGTTATACTTACTCCTAGCTACCATCTAATGGGGAGGACGGGTCAACTTGGTTGGTCCGATGACCGGGGTGGCGGGTTTCTGGAGACGTAGAAGCAGCCCGGTAGGAAAACGCAATGCGTTCCCCGCTCCTCCTAACAAACGTTCCACAAAAAAAAAAAAAAAAAAAAAAAATTGTGAGCCACATGCATGTAACGCACTTGGTGTTTGCATGCGTCGCTGGTTGCCCCCGGTGTCACGGAAGCCAAAGGTGGTTTGAACTTGAACAATGTACATGTGCTGCCGAGAATTGAGTAACAGCCACAAAGTGACGGCACGTGGCCAATGTTTCAGTTTGCCGATCGCGATCGTGATCAACTGTGATGATCGAGGACAAGTTTTTTTTCTCAAAAAATCTATCGATTTCAACTCCAAGGAAGGCAGAGAGTTCAGAAAGAAAAAGAATAAAAAATGATCCGACCCAGGTTCGAACTGAGGACCGCCTGTGCACATTACGTAACGCACGCAGATGTTAGACAGAAGTGATAACCAACTACACCATCGGACCGATGAGAGGTACGGAGGAGAGGTCGAGCCCATGTGCAAAGTATCTAGTCGGAGAATTTCAACCAGAGTTTGCTCAACCGTCACGCACAACTGAGCCATACATATACATAGAGCAAAGAACCAGTTGTAGCATTCGTGTTGATTGATTCGACGAATCATAGACAGACGTGATAACCAAGCACACCATCGGACCGGCGGTACTTGATGCATGAAGTCACAAGCTTGGGTAAGTTCAGGTTCAACTACGCGTCGATGCCCTTAAATGAGTCACCTGTTGCGGTCGCGCGCAAAGGGAGGCAGAGGGTAAATGGGCTTCTACATTATAATTTAATGGCATGCCAACGTTCAGAATTTGAACCAAGGTTACCCAACGACTGTGGGTCCAATACTCCCCTGAGCAGGCGAACCTCATTCAAGGCAATGTGAACCGGTGCCAAGTCTCCCAGTATTACTCACCTCCGCCCGTTTAAACCGCGACGCCACGATTCTTATAACCAAGTACACAATCGGCGATTCGGACAGTTGATTTGAACGATCATCAGTGGCTGTGCGCAGGTCCTATTATCATCGATCGGATGTGCCGACTTCGGACTTGTGCTTCTTGCTCTCAATGCACGCCATTACCGTCCGTCTGCCCATTCTTTTCCTATTTTTTGCTCACTTGTCCACAGCAACAATTCTGGTCTGTCCGGGAATACCTGAGCCCGGTAGGCAGCCCCAGGGGTGCTCCAATCGTCCGCTAATCGTCCCCAGGTTCTCAAGGAGAGCAAGTTTAAAGAACACGGCCGTATCACACCCGGTTCGTGCTGTAACCCAAGTATCACTTGTCTCTGACCGTCTGTAGAGGAGTTCCTTGCCGCAGGCGACTTTCTAGCGTACAAGTTCCCAGTATGGACGTGGTCAGTGGCACCTTGTCCGCAGCGGCTTATAATATCAATGCTATCTGCGCATCAGGGAAGCGGGCGACCCGTCTAAAACGAAGGACTACCTCCCCCCCGACAAGCAGTATCTCGTAACACGCGGGGTGCCGTGCCTCCGCCGCGCGACGTCGCTCGCGTACACGGACGCCGACGAGGACTCGGAGCGCCTGCTCTCGTTCGGCGGCGACGCCACCGGCGCGGACGAGTGGGTCGAGACGCACGCGGGGCGCAAGGCGAACCTGGACTCGGCCAACCCGGGCAGCATCGACGACATTCCCGACCTCGACGCCGCGCCGGAGGGCTCCCTCGCCCAGGGCGTCGGCAGCCTCGCGCTGGGCGGCGACGAGACGCCCGATTTGGACGATATTCCGGATATGGAGGAGGAGGGGCTGGAGGAGGAGGAGGACGAGGCGACCGCGGCGCCCAAGGCCGGCGTCATCGACGCTAGGTATGGTTAATTCGTCCCACCCTGCTCAATTTATTTATTCCGTCATCCCAGCCAGGTGGAGGTCGCGAACGGCAACCTGCTGCAGGTACGGACGTACGACGTCATGATAACCTACGACAAGTACTACCAGACTCCGCGCATCTGGCTGCTTGGCTACGATGAGGTTAGATTGTTCCCGTCCCCTCTCACTGACCCTGCCCCTGACTGTTTCTCTAACCGTGCAGAACCGCACGCCGCTGACGCCGCCGCAAATCTTCCAAGACGTCTCGGCCGACTACGCCTTCAAGACCGTCACGATCGAGCCCTTCCCGCACTCCGTCTCGCTGCAGGCCGCGTCCGTGCACCCCTGCAAGCACGCGAGCGTCATGAAGAAGGTCATCGAGCGCATGAACAGCAGCGTCGTCGCCGAGCAGCTCGCGCAGCGCAAGTCGGGCGGCTCTTCTTCGTCCGCGAAGGACAAGGACGGCAGCGGGAAGAAGAAGTGGTTCGGGCGCAAGGCGAGCGGGAACGGGAAGGACGACAAGGCGGCGGCGGCGGCGGGCGGGGCGGAGGGCGACGACGACGTCGAGGGCATGCGGGTCGATTTTTATCTCGTCGTGTTCCTCAAGTTCATCGCGTCCATCGTGCCGACCATCGAGGTCGACTCGACGACGTCGTTCTGAGTGCGCAAGCAACAATCAGGGCGTGGATTATACCCTCACTGAAACGAGAAGAGAATATATGTATCTGTACGAAGGCCCATTTACCTACCTAGAAACCATGCTGTGACAACTACTTTTTTCTTTCTCAGAGCAAACACGAGTTGAGGAGACCCAAAATGACTATAACGATAGCAGAAGTAAAGAAAAGAGTACAAAAATCAAGTCGCGACCTCCGCCGTCTTGGACTTTTTATCCTTCTTGTCTTTTCGCTTCTTCTCTACCGGCGCATCTGCGTCGGCCTCGTCCTTCGCCTTCTTGTCCTTTTTCCGCTTCTTCTCCACCGGCTCGTCGACGGGTATCGGATTCGACGGGGGTACATCGACATCGACATCCATCCCGTCCGCCTTCGCCTCGCCCCCGCTCTTGTCCCTCTTCCGCTTCTTCTCCGGTTTTGAAACTGGAGCCGCGTCCGCGTCCGCGTCGCCGTCGCCCTCTGCCTCGGCCGCTTTCGCCTTCTTCTCCTTTTTCTCCTTCCCCTCCTTATCCTTCTTGCGCTTCTTGCCGTCCGGTATCGATTTCTCCACCAAAACCATCTCGGTCCCAGTCTCGGTCTGGTCGCGTTTCCGCTTTTTCGGGGGTGTCCCAGACACGGACTCGTCCGGCGTCGCGGGGGGCTCGGGCGCGCCGTCGCTCCCGCTCCCGCTCCCACTAGCGAGCAGCCTCCCCGCGCTCTTTTGGGTTTTCTTGAGCGCCGAGGCTTCGGCGCGGAGCTCCTTGCGCGTTTTTGTCGGTTCGCCATCGGCGGCAGCACTTGGCTCGGTGGCGGGCTAAGCGTTGAGTGAGCATGTATAATATGCAGGGGAAAGCGCAAGACAAAACCTACCGTCTCCGCAGCAAGGGCGGCCTTTTTCTTCTCCCGCTTCTCCTTCTTGCGTTCCTCCTTTTCCTTCTCCTTCTCCGCCTTTTTCTCCTTCTTGTCTTTTTTCTCTTTCTCGGCGGGTGCTGGTGCGGCAGCTTTTGGTGCCGGTGTCGGCGTCGGGGGTAGCGGGACCGCAGCCGGCGTAACGGCCACCGGCGCAGGCGGCGACGTCCGCGTCGGCGTCCCTAGCGGCGTATCATTCGCGCCCGTCGCGCCCGTCCGCGGCGCGCCCCACCCGCCACCCCTCCCGAACCCCCCGCGCCCCCGCCCGCCCGACACCCAATTGCGCACCGTGCTCGGCGGCGCGGGCGGCGGCGGCGGGTACGTGCTCTTCCCTGTGGGCTTCAATGCTACATCAACCCCGGTCAGTTTATCTCAGAGCGGCAGACATACAGCGGTCTTAGGCCCCTTGTACACGCTCTTCTCGTACTTCTCCGCCTCGCTGATGCACTGCGTGTGACTCTTGTACTCGGCGGGGGAGTTGAACGTCGCGGAGCAGTCGATGCAGTCGAAGCCCGCGTAGCAGCGGTTGTAGTGCTGGTCGAGCTTGGGCTTTTTTACCGTGTCCTGGCAGGCATGGCATCTAGTAGAATTGGGATTCGTTAATGAGGGAAGGGGGAGCGTAGGGAGGTATTAATTAACTGGAAGGAAACCATGGTGGGCGCGAAGGCAAAAAAAGTTGAAGTGATCGGCGATCACCTATACATATACCACAACACGCTCTTTACAACTTGAACGGCTTTTATTCGATCCAGAGATACAGATACACAAGTTAGCATACATACTCACGAAGACCCAAGCCTAACTACCCAGGTCTCCGCACACGGCTCCGTCCCAGGCAATAACCTGAGCTCCGTGAACTCCTCCATCCTGTCCAGGCCCTTGAAGATCGTGTTGGCCCCCAACCAATCGATCCGCTTCAGCTTCGTGTCTCCGTCCGACTCGCCCCGCTTCCTGGCCGCCTTCTCGATCGTCTCGCGCAGCTTCTTGTCCCCGATGATAATCCCCCACTCCGAGTCGGCGATGTACTGCTGGAGCTGCAAACACTCAAATCAGCCACGGTCCCACAGGAAACAACGCAGGGAGGACGCAACGCACCGCGGCATGAAGCGCATTCCAGATGGCCTCCACCGTGACGGGCGAGCTCGACATGACGTCGATCGACCACGGGAACGCCTTGCATATGAGGCGGACGTGCGCCGCCGAGCTCGCGGTCGCGGGCAGCCCGCGGTTCGGCATGTACGTCGCGGGCGCGATCTCGTTCAGCGCCTTCCTGCGCACGTCGTACCGCACCTGCGTCGAGTCCGACGCGAGGATCGGGTGCAGCGTGGGGTACTTGGCCGAGTGGAACCCTGCATGCGGCACACGTCGTCAGTTCGGTGGGCGCGGGGAGGGGAGAAGGGAACGTCGCGCACCGGCACCAGGGTGCGGAGGCGCCCACCCGGGCTGGCCCCAAAACCCGGGAAACGCCTGCTGCGGCGGGGGGAACCCCGGCTGCTGGTAGAACGCTGCCGGTCCCCATGGATTCGCGCCCCAGTGGTTCATGTTGCTGCTCGTTCTAGTTCTGCGATGTGGAGGTTATCACCAAGCCAAGTTAAAGAAAGGCGCTGAAGCCCAGTGATTGATCTGCGATGTGGGAATGACTCAGCGTCTATTTCCAGGCTCGGGCGGTGAAAGCTGTGAAAGCTTAAGCGCCTACTTAAGCCCGTCGATAAGAACCCGATTAGCTTCGGGTGCTGTGCTGGGTCGGCTCCGAAGTATTGCAGGCGGAAATCCAGCGGCGTGATCGCCAGTAGGAAGAACAAACCAGCAAGAGGACGCACGCGCCCAGGATCGAGCCATCCGATGAGAAAGGATATTTGCTGATCCAGAACCCTAGACAAGCACCACAGGCGTCAATTTAGGCGCCTGCAACTTCCACGCTGTGCTGACTGCGCTCCCAAGATTGGCGGAGTCGGGGGATTGAACAAAGCCGCAGTCGGCGGACCGGACTAGGTGAGAGACGAATACGAGTCAACAATGTTAGCTGACTTCACCCGAGCTTGCGAGCGGCTGGAGTCAGTGTGAGATAAG